GGGGGGGGGGGGGGGGGGGGTTGGGAGTGCAGAGAAGCTGCTATTATTATTATTACAATCCTCTAAATGTATGATGCAGCCACAAACAAGTTCTGCAAATCACAAACAAAACAAAAATACTAAAAAAAAAAAATCACGAAAAGTGTGTGACGTCATCAGCGCCCCCGCGAGGTCGTGATGCTCATTACGCACCATGTAATAACTGCTGCATGGATGACAGAGCTGTGAGTTAAACTCTCACTGCTGCACACATTCAGCACAGAAATTATCTGACTTTATTCCCATATTTAATATTTCATATTCAGACATTTATACCTGCAGTTCACCTTTGAGCCACACGAGGGAGCCTGGATGTTCGTATGGATCTGATAATTGGAGACATTCTATGAGGTTGAATCTAATGTGAAAAGGTGGAGCACACTCTGAGGGTTTTTAACTGATGAGAGGAAATGAAAAGAAATCAATAACACAAAAGTTGTGATTTCTGTATGTCTACTAAACAGCTGCTTTGCCTGCTCGAGGTGATGAGGAAACGGCAGTAAAAACAGTCAGCAACGTTCATTCACGCACACAACGTGCTGTTGGGTCGAGTTAGTTTGTCAGGTCCCAAGAAGAGGGTGAAGTTTGGTCTGTGATGCCGACTAAAGGTGGAATTACAACTTCTGAGTCCGTCACATGAAGCCTTTGAGCATCTAATCCAAAAACGCTACCAGAGGCGTGTACGCCGTCTCTACTTCACTCCTCCACAGTCCAAATATGGTCACTTCCTGTTCACTGGCTGCAAAAACAACAACATGTCATCTTGTTCTACCAGTCTGTTGTGGTCAGTCCACTGTTCTCCGTAGTCTGCTGGGGGAGCAGCGTTGGAGCCGGAGACATCAACAGACTTAACAAACTGGTTAAGAAGGCCGGCTCCATCGTTGGCTGCAAACTGGACAGCCTGGAACAGGTGGTGGGGAGGAGGACTCTGAAGAAACTATTACCCATATTGGATAACCAGGACCACCCTCTCCACCACCTACTGCAGGGACAGACTCTCTTATCCAATAACAAACACAACATTCAGTAAAAAACAACACTATTCCTCGTTTTTAATCCGTCAGCAGAGGAAGTCCTGTACTGTGGTATGTTTGAGCGAGCCGGATCCCTTTAAGAGGCCTCGCAGGCCCTGGTGCAGGTCTGGGAAGTCCTCCAGCTTCTGTCTGCTGGTGTCTTCCAACGTGATGTTTCGTTTTAATGTGAGGACGGGTCGACGTCGGTCGCTCATTCGTCACACCTGGAGGCTTTGAATGAGCGCTCAAACAAACTCCAACTCCTCCGTGTTCATCGACGTCTCTCGGAGGAGTAACAGCCCATGAATCACGAGGAGAGGATCGGCCTGTTGACTTTGTGGAACCGCAAATGGTAACAATTCATGTGTGACAACAGAACAGATCTCGTTATAATGGTCATTTGTGCTCTCTCTGTTTAAGGCGGAGCATCAGGTTACAGAGTCTGGCCTGCAGTGCTTCACTCATGTGAAGAAGAACTCAGGTGCTCGTTATTTGGCAGCAGTGATACAGAGGAGATTTAACAATGGTGTGTGTGTGTTCGGTGAAGCCTGTTACTTATACAGTAAATACAGCTGGATGAGAAGATCTCCTTCCTCATCTTCACGATGCCTTTTTTTATTAAATATTGATATCAGCCTGTCGGCACATGCAGCGAGACAGGAAGCAGTCAGTGGGAGGAAAACCTGGAGACTCATCAAACCTGGAACATGAAGTGAGAACCTCATCCAGGTTTTTACTTCTGTATTTTCTGAGAGTTTATTGGCAACCAAAGAGGAGTTTAGATTGTACGGTTTAAAAGTATTTTACAGACTTGGGTCCAACATTTTTTAATACTCGCTATAATTGAACACTACTTTTAAATCACAAGGAATAAATAAAAACTCAGTAGTTTAGTTGTCTCAACCTAAGTAGCTTAGTTGTCTCAACCTAAGTAGCTTAGTTGTCTCAACCTAAGTAGCTTAGTTGTCTCAACCTAACTAAGTAGTTTCCTGTGAAAATGGAAGTTTATTTTGAAAAGACTGTCTTTATGTAACGAGTGGAAATTGACAGGTGTTGCTGAACTTTTGTAGGAAAACATTAAAAGTGTTACACTTCGTAAGATATCGTACGAACCGTTGTATCAGGAAGTGTTGCCTTATTGGTGCGTATACCTTCATTTTAGGGAAAACATCTGTGTTTAGACCCTTTCCTTCTTTCAACAAAATACATGAAACTACTCAGTGTGTTTGTGTTAAATATACAACGAGGATCCTTCATGAGGGAAGCAAAGTCTGTATAACTTTGCTCTAACAGGCCGAGAACCTTCTGCATTAAACCAACTAACAACCAAATATATTAATAATACAATATTTATTCACAGCAGCGTCGTGGACATTACTGACGTCAAACCAGCTGATACTTTGGTTTTAAATGAGCAGATCAACATTTGTAATTACAAAATGTATCTGGTCCAGAAACTTGTAACTAAAACAAAAGTTAAAAATAAATCTAAAATCAGTTTTTATTTCTGATGAGCAGAGAATCTGAATGAAACGACATCCTGACAAAAGTAAAGATGGACGAACCTGAACATTTGAAACCTTTAATGCAAAAAAAAAAAAAAAGGTCAAATTTAAACCGATTATTGTAGACGGGCACCAAACAGCCAGCTTCTGTCTCCACGTATGAAACCCGAACTGCTCAAGAAGAAACACACACACACACACACATCTCAGATGACACTGCAGATATGCTGCTTCATGGAGGACTTTGATGTCTGCACTGCAGACAAACTGAACCGGTACCGTTGGCCGCAGGTTTCAGAGCTTCCCTCAGATAACATTCCAGAGTGACGAGACAGAAAAGTGGAGCCGGAGACGGAGCGTCCGACTGAACCGCACGCGGGTTTAGAGAAGACGTGTAAAAGAAGCAGCAGAAAATACGCCGTGTGTTTTATCAGGACGACGAACGGGAAAGATTCATCTTTAAAGAGGAACGGATCAACTTTTGGGGAAATGTGCTTCTTTGCTTCTTTGCTGAGATTTAGATGAGAAGGTCAATAAGGCCGGAGCCTGGAGACGCTTAGTGTAGGAGACATTTATTTCATGCTGGTATTTAGTTATTATATACGTATATACACGAGTAGGCAAGTACAGGACCAGCATGCACCAGGTTTTTTATCAGAGCAGGAGAGGCAGCGACAGGATTCTCTTTGTCATTTCTTTGCTTGTTTATAATTCTGTCCGGACAATGAACTCGTTTGTCTGCATGAAGCACAAACCCGCGGTGTGTCAGTGGCCCTTTCATTCATGTTTGCTTTTGCTTTTTGTCTGAGACAAACGGCCACTACACCGAGGTTAGCATGGAGACTGGAAACAGTGACCCAACCCAACATATCAGGGCTCACTAATAGGTGGGCCGCGGTCCGGTTCCGGTCCCGAACACCGTTGTACGCGGATGGTTTATGCGGACCCGGACCTAAAACTGATGATCAATAAATTCTAACAGAGCGCTTCTATTTCTTACCGGCACAGCTTTTCCAGCCTGTACGGCACTCGTTCAGCGTCCAGGAAACACTAATCACATGCGTTGTAGTTCATATGTGTGTATTCCTATAAGCGTCGCAACTCCAGTGACATTTGCACACACGGGAAAGAGACCCAACAGTCAGAGAAGTTATTTCACATTGTGTTCTCTAAGAAGAGAAATGTGACCAGAGACTTCAACCAGGAATGGACAGAATCGTACGTCTTCATTCTTCCTACAGGCAGTTTAAACCAGGACGTCTCACATGTTCAGAGAATGTGAAGCGTCACTACGAGACAAAGCACAACTCTTTTGAGCAAACGCACCCACTCACATCTGATATGAAGGTACAAAAAATGGGCAGATGTTAATACACCTGTTGGCTACTTCAAAAAAAAATAAATAAATAATATATATATATATATATATATGACTAAATCATAGAACAAGTTAAGACGTTATTTGGTGTCGTAAATTCTCTCTAACTGGACCTCACTGAACTTTAATTGAATACCTCTGCAATATATTAACACATTCCCCCGTTACAACGCCTCTAAACTCCAGAAAGTCACAACAGAATAGTCCTGCATGCAAAGAACCTGGACAAGCACCACTTGGGATTTGAACGGATAAAAAAAACAAAAAACAGATTAAAGTGTAACTTCCTCCCGAGGTCTGGATCCACCCGCTGCATACAGCCGGACACGTTGAGCTGGTGTCACGTGACTCGTCACCGTCAAAACATGTGATCGATCAAAAAAGGTCACCATCAAAAATGTCATGTGACTTTTTACATTGCTTTTTTTTAAATCACCATTTATTTTCATAATAAAATCACATATCAATTTAAGAGATTGTTGGAATATATATATATATATATATATATATATATATCCCAAAGTTTTCGGTCATTTTTCTAATAGTTCAAACTGTTCTCAGCGTTAGAAATGCAGATTATTGCAGATACGCATGAATAACTTCCTGTTTCTGTAGAATATATAAAAAGATCCTCATAAGCAATAAAACGTGCGAGTGAAGAAACGCTTCCTACTTTTGGACATGAGTTTCTCTCCACCGCCGCCTTTAAACACAAAAACAAGCACATCTGATCACACACACACGTAGAATAAAAGTACTCCAACTGTGTCTACACTCAGAGACTAAAGGTCACACACACACCTCATGTGTCTTTACCTCTCAGATCTTGTTCACTCTCTTATTCCGACGCGGAGGGATCCAGGTGAACGACACACGGCTGCCGGATGACACTGACGAGCCATCAACAGGTGACGAGAGCCAGGTGAGTGTGAGCCAAACAGCCCACCCTCAAACACAGCAGGTATGCCAACCTCATTGGTTGTGTCTCCAGGATGAACACACCCACAGAGTGGCGGGACCACGCTGTGGTGCAGCTGCAGCGCTGACTCATAACAACAACATAAAAAGGTTAGATTATAATCATTAACTTCCTGTTCACACTTCTTGTTTTTATTTGCAGAAAGAAGATGATCAATAAAAGCTATTACGACACCAGAGAGACCTGAGACTTTAACCAGGAATGGACAGACTCGTACATCTTCATTCTTCCTACAGGCAGTTTAAACCAGGACGTCTCACATGTTCAGAGATCGTGAAGCGTCACTACGAGACAAAGAAGTCTTTTGAGCAAACGCACCCACTCACATCTGATATGAAGTCACAGAAAATAAAAGATCTGGGCACAAATACCCGACAGTGAGAACCCGGAGGCACGCAGGAGGAGCAGGTCTAGCTCCACAACGCCATCTGATGGACGGACTGAGGAGCTCTGCTTAAAACACACCAAAGTCATCACTTTATCCGACTCATAATTTCTGAGCTTATCCCTCGGTGTCATTGGAGGGAAGCGTTGAAAACACACGAGGCTCTCACCGGACGTAAATAAATACAATCTATCACTAAGAACTTCATTCTTCCAGACAGCAGCGATGGTACATTGGGTTTAATCAAAGTACTGCACCTGGTACTTCTTCTCCAGACTCAGATATTGTACTTTTTACATTATTTGAGAGTAACCGGTTACGTTATAATATCAAGATTAAACATGTAATACATGTGATTAGTGAGGATCATATTGGGAAAACTTGAGTTCCTGAATCGGGACAAAATTTGAGATATGGGCGTAAATATAAAACAAACACGCCCATGAGACACAATGAAAGAGACAAGAGAACAATGTGAGGGGAGAGAACGAGCCCGTGAAAGAGATTCAGACTGATTCCACCAAACAACAACCATGTGTTCAAAGAAAAACCGACCATAATATAAATGTGATGCCGGTCCCTCCAAAAGAAAACCGCCTACGTCGTGGTGTTATTTATCGTTTCGCTGTTTTGTCAGCAGCAATGTTCTACAGGGGCCTGTAGTAACTTCCTTCCTTATGTTATTGGCTGGAGGCACTGTTGAGGTGCCCTTGAGCAAGGCACCAAACCCCCAAAACCCCCAGAGACCACAGAGCAGCTGGACTCCCCGGTTGTCATGAATCGACAGGCTTTTACTTGATGACATAAATGAGACAACGAGCACAAAGCCTCACACTTTACAACCGTTCCCTTCGAGTTCATTGAAGACACGTTTCATGAACGAGGCCTCAGCAGGAGGACACATCACGCTCCACGATGAGACGTTTGGAACGCGGCCTTCGATACCAAACAGCTCTGTGCAACACTGAAGCTCCAACTGCTGACACGACGGGTTTAACGTGGAATCATTTGTCTCCCTTCTATTACTCTGTGTGCGTTTTCTAATCAGTTCCCTGATTGAGACATTTAGGGATTCATATCGGCGTGAAGTTAATTCAGGGAATGAGATGAACTCCTGGCGAGAGGAAGGGGGCTGTGGATGGTGACTGGTAGCACGAATCCTACAAATACACATGAATTTATATAGAATCACTGACAGCATATGATGCAAGTTGATATTCCCAAAGTGTAACGTTTGAAAATGTTTCTTTAAGAAGAGACTCTACAGGTGAACATATTTCACTGACAGATATCACCATGAAACCTCACCAGTGCATCACTCACATTAAGAGGATTATTACTTGTATTACAAGCTTTCTGAAATGTGTTTAAATATGCAAATGAGGCACCAACTTTTGGTGCAGTGTGAAAGAAGACGAGTTCTGGAAGATAAACTAAAATCTGTAAATTGATGAGCGTATGATAAGTGATGTTTTTGCTTCACTGTCTCACCTTGAAGGAGGAACATCTCTGGTACGTCAGCCTGCCTGTCATCATCTGAACACAGCAGAACGCTCTGCAGCCAACGCAATGTTTAAACCTGCTTCAACTCTGGAAAAGAGGACATTAGTCTCATTAACATCAAACACTGTGATGTATTATTAACGGGTGCTTTGATCGTTCACATGAGGAAGTAGACTAGAGAGTGACACTGCTGTGGCTCCATCTCTCAGCTCCTCCTGTAGACCACCTGATGGTGCGTTAGATTTCTCCACCACTGCGTTATGAACAGGAGCTGGAGTCTCCGTCAGTCAGAGCTCCTCCTCCTCATTCCTGCTCCGCTGTTTGTTGGATCTTTAAAATATGTTCTTTCCTTCAAAGTGAATCATTTCAACACTAAATGTACAGCATCATGCTCGGGAGAACTTCCTTTGACACCACATGATTGTTTTAGAGTCGTCACCTTAAAATAACAGCTTCAAGATTATTTTGGGTTTTCCGGACAAGTACCTCACACCCTGAAACGACGATGACCTTCATCATGACTCATAGCTGCATGAGTTCTTCTGTGGAATTGTGTTTGGAGAAAACTTAAAGAGAAGTCGTATAGAAGTCTATGAGAAAATGACTCTACTTCTCTCTTGATTTATTACCTCAGGAAACATTGTAAACATGAGTTTATGGTCTCAATCTCTAGTTTCAAGTCTTCTTCAATACAGCATGATGTTCATTTAGTACATTATGGTCCATTTAGAGTCACACAGACCATAAAGCAGGGGATGCTTTAGGGCGGGGCTACACGGTGATTGACAGGTCTCTACCAGAGACCTGTCAATCAGTCCAGATATGGTCACTTCCTGTTCACTGGTTGAGAAAAAACCAAGATGGTGACGGCAAAATCACAGAAGACAAGGCTTCAGAACATCCACAAACCAATAAGTGACGTCACGATGACTACGTCCACTTCTCATAGTTTATGGTTTTTAGTGAAAGTGGATCATATTTTATGGAGAAAATCGCTACTTTTCGTTCATATTTATGACAGCGGCGTATAAGTGGAACTGTGATGACCACATTTGATGCTGCTGTTTTCGTTGCAGTAATTATTCAGTGTGTTTGTACTCAGTCAGCCCCCCTCTTTATACTACTTCTCGTTTCCAAACATAGGAAACCCCTCATGCATGCAGTAGTAGAACATGGTGCATGTTGACTTGTAGGCAGTTGTTTTCATGAAGATAAAAGCCGACTTTCCTTCCTGAGATAAACTCTGCTGCTTAAATCCGTTTTAATATCCTCGTTTGTTTCAAAGTGAAGCCTCACAGAAGATCTTCTTCTTCTGAGTCACCGCTACGTCGCTGCTCCTCCACAGCGTCACGTAGAATGAACACTATATATATTATTCAAAGTCATCTGTTGACTGAGACCCTGCAGGAGAACAAGCGAGACATCAAACTGAGCCGTCATGAGCAGATATACTTTCATTACAAATTAAAAGGTACTTTCAGAACATCTCTTGGATCCATTTGAAGGCCTCACAGAACGTAATCACTCTCACGTCCACGACGTTGAAATCACACTGAAGCACAAACATCACTTCATGGTTCCTCACCGGCTCATCGATAAGTGAGTACAATACAACATCCGGCTCGTAAAACAACATATAAAGTCAACATTATTATCAGAGTGAGCTCACGAGTGAAGCGTCTCACTTCCTGCTGTGGTGCACGCGCTCAGTGTCGAGCAGAAGGAAGACGACGTTTATGAGCATTTCAACCATCCTGGAAACTCCAGATTCATCTCCTTAAATAAAGATTCAACGTTATTAACTTTGGTCTTTTGTTGTTATTTGATAATAAATAATAAAAACATTGGATATCGGGGGGCGAGTTCAAATTTACGTTGAGGAAGCAGATTTGTGACCCGGAGTAAAAAATAAACCTATAAATGTTTATAACCTCAGTCCTTCCTCCATGCGTCCCCATGCACCGTCAGCTCACTTATTGTTTTAGTTATGATTCAGTAAAAAGCATTCCATCCCCAGTCCGTCTCTTTCCAACTGGACCCCCAGCATCCTCCTCACTGGGGTCCCAGTCCTCCCAGTCCTCCCACGGTGCTCTGGCCGTCGCTGTGGTCGCCCCCCCACAGGCGGTAAAACTGACTGAAGTCCACGTAAGGAGGGACCCTCCCCGTCTCGTCCGGCTGAGCCGCCTGGCTGCCTCTCTGCCGGAACAGGCTGCCGTCTCCGGAGCTGGAGCTGGAGCTCTGCGTCTGGGTGTTGGTGGACTGGAGGGTGGCTGTCGGGCTCTGGCTGCTGGGGAGAGAGGAGGAGGAGGAGGAAGAGGAGGAGGAGGAGGAGGAGGAGGCAGGTACGAGGGTGGGGATGGAGGAGGAGGAGGCAGGTACGAGGGTGGGGGAGGAGGAGGAAGAGGCAGGTACCAGGGTGGGGGAGGAGGAGGAGGAGGAGGAGAGGAAGGGATCCGTGTTGCGGGTGGAGAGGCAGAGGAGGGAGGTGGAGAGAGGGAACGGGCGGGGGGGAGGAGGAATGATGGAGAGAGAGAAGAGGAAGGCGGAGAGGGGGAGAGGGGAGAAAAGGAGTTCAATTATGGGCTGCATTATGTCGACGGAGGCCTGGCAGGTAGAGGGGTAACACGAGCTACAGGAGAAAGGAAAGGAAAGGAGAGGACAAGAGTGTAGGAGACGGGACAAGAGTGTAGGAGACGGGACGGAGGAAAGACAGACACAGATGCGAGTCAGACAGACAGGACGGAGTGAAAGTCATCAAAAGGAGGACGAAACACAGAAAGCCGGTTCCCTCCTGGACTCGAGGCTGTGGGTGATTCTTCTGATGTGAAGGAAACACATCTCTACTTGAAGTGAAGATCATCACGTGTGACCGGGTCAAGGGTTCGATTCCACAGTATTCATTGTGCTTCATTGGGCCTCATGCGTGACTGCACTGTGCACAGTGTTCAGTGTTCACGAGTGCAGGTTGTCTCCACTAGTTGGTGGTGAAGAAAAGAAGCTTGTTAACACCGTCTTATGTCTTTGAGACGTATTGAAGTGTAACGACGGGTATCAATACTAGTACACTTATCGGTTCCTAATCAATACACTTATCGGTGCTTTTTTATTATATTGTGAGAATTAATAACGAAAATAAACAGTTTTAAATACTTCTCCAGCTGTTGTTGATCAGCCTTCTGTGAAAAGGACTCATGGAACAATGAGGAAGTGAAAACCATGCTGACACATAAATAAGCATCGTAGTGGAGGGACACAGGGGAGCGAATATTAAGCCTACCTAAAGTAAATATAGCGAGGGAGGGAAGAGGGAGTTATCTAAAACACAGCCAAAATAAACTGAGGGAGGAATGAAGCTCACACAGTGAAAACAACAGCAGAGAGAGAACGGAGGGAACGTTTAAGTTCAGGCAGCGGAAACACAACAAGAGGGAGGACAAACGTCAAGCTCACCCTGACTGAACATAGGAGTAAAGGGAGAACCAGGAGAGGAAAACAAGCTCACCCTGGTGTGGGGGTTCCTTCCTCCAGGGTGGAGGCGGTGTTGGTTCCATTGGTGAGAGTATTTTGTGAGGGCATGACCAGTGAGAGGGTGACGCTGGTCTTACTGGTGCTCTGGCTGTTGGAGTAGGGCACTGACACTGGGTAGATACGTCCACCTGAGAGAAGGACGGACAGGTAAACGGTTTACATTCTTATTAGATGTATAAAGCAGTAGTTACCACCTGAGAGTCAAAAAATAATCAACAACAGCAAAGAAAGTAATTAACTCCATAAGATTATGTTTTATTTTTAGTACATTGATACGACGCCGTATTAAGAGACATTGTACGTAGAAAAAATAATAATTAAGGTGCACATTTAAGGTCAATTATGTTTTTTTGTGTGTCTAATTTTGTCTCATTTTTTTGTGTATCTATGCTTGTGACGACACGGTGATTGTGGGATAAAATCACGAGTGTTTCTTTATCTCTAAATCTGATTGCTACGGTATAATCTGCGTTGGTGCCGCCGGTATGAAGGTCTGTCCCCTCGTGGAGGATTTCCATAAAACCCAAACTGATCCCAGAATGCCCTTCTTCTTTACCCTGCGTGGGCGTGAGCGTCCCGTCGGCCAGCGGGTAGTTGAGCGTGCGGATGAGCAGCGTCATGTCCTCGTGTCGTAAGCAGAAGGTCGCCCGCTGACGGCCGGACACGTAGACGTCGTGGTGCAGACGCTTCACGCGCTCCACCACCGACTGAGCCACTGCCTCCAAGACGCTCTGCAGGGCCAACTCCGCCGCCACCATCGCTACGATCTCCTACGGGACGGAACCGCAGAGGAGAAGGATGTTAAAGAGGAGGAGGGGGAGGGGGAGGAAAAGGAGAATGATGTTAAAGAAAGAGTGGAGGAGGAAGAGGCCTAGGAGAAAGAGGAAGAAGAGGAGGACGAACAGGAAGAGGAGAATGATGTTAAAGAGTGGAGGAGGTTAAGAAGGAGGAGGAAAAGAAAGGACGAGGAGGAGGAAGAGGCCTAGGAGAAAGAGGAGGAGGAGGAGGAGGAAGAAGAAGAGGAGAATGATGTTAAAGAGTGGAGGAGGAGGAAGAGAAGGAGGAGGAAGAGGAGGAGGAAGAGGAAAATGATGTTAAAGATTTGAGGAACTGAAGAAGAGGATGAGGATGAAAGTAAAGTACAATAAAAACAACAACAAAGTGGTGAGAATGTTGGCTGAAGTGGGCGGTAACTACCAGGATGGATCGGCTCACCCGATTGGATGAATGGGCTCACCTGATTGGATGAATGGGCTCACCTGATTGGATGAATGGGCTCACCTGATTGGATGAATGGGCTCACCTGATTGGATGAATGGGCTCACCTGATTGGATGAATGGGCTCACCTGATTGGCTTGTTCGGGGCCGTGGGCGGACTCGAGGGCATTGATGAGACCTTCAGACATCAGCAGCAGGAAGCCTGTCACGCTGTCCAGAGAATGGCTGCCGTGAATCTCCGGCTCGGCGATGACCGGCCTCGTCTTAGCCGCACTGAAGGAGGACGGGAGGAGACGGAAGGATGCGAGAGCAGAGGAGTTTAGTTGGGATAGGGAAGGAGAGAAGTGGACGAAGAAGAGAGACACCGGACCTCAACACAATGAAACTAAATGATCTCTTACGCTTTGTCCACATCACATTTCCTGCCTCCTCTTTGAAGATAGAGATCATATTGAGTTTTATTGAGGATCATAACTGCAGTGAAACACTGACTATGGAGAAGAACCTCTAATAACCACACTTCTAAACTTCACTACTGTCTCTTTAAAATGTTTCAACAGCCACCACAATTTACCTTCACACACAGTTCTTTAAAAACACGTCACTCGTCTGTCTGAATGCTAAATAAGAAGCTACATCTAGCAGAGCGTTATCTCAAACTGGAGTCTAGAGTCTATTAACAGACGTTATATCTTGTTTCTTTAATCTGTACATTAACAGAAATCCAACAACAGAAACCTGAATACAGAAACAGGGACTTCCTGGAATTCACTGTGCCGGGACAGGAAGTAGTTTGTTTGTTCGACTTGTTTCAAAAGACTGTTTTCAGAGCTTAAGTGTTGACAATATAGATTCTGCTGTCGGATCTGTGCGTCCATAATAATGAATATCAATAAAGAAGAAAGCAGGAGAGTAAAGAAGAGTTCACAGTGTTTCACCTGAGCAGCTCGATCTCATTGTAGTTGAACTTGACCCGATAGTCTCCGAGTCTCCTGGTGCTGCTCTGACCTGAGATCTGACCCGCCTGACGGACACGAGATGAATCCACACCTGTAGAGAAGAACAGTGAGAGGATGAGGAGGAGGAAGAGGAAGAGGAGGAGGAGACACCACCGCTAATCATGCCGACCATGACCAGATCACGTGACGGTCTGACGGTGTGACGGTCTGATGGTGTGAGGGTGTGAACCGTCTGACGGTGTGATGGTCTGATGGTGTGACGGTCTGATGGTGTGAGGGTGTGAACCATCTGACGGTGTGATGGTGTGACGGTCTGATGGTCTGAACCGTCTGATGGTGTGAACCGTCTGACGGTGTGATGGTCTGATGGTGTGACGGTCTGATGGTGTGAACCGTCTGACGGTGTGATGGTGTGACGGCGTGATGGTCTGATGGTGTGAACCGTCTGACGGTGTGATGGTCTGATGGTGTAATGGTGTGACGGTCTGATGGTGTGATGGTGTGAATCGTCTGACGGTGTGATGGTCTGATGTTGTGATGGTCTGATGGTGTGATGATCTGAGGGTCTAACGGTGTGATGGTGTGACGGTCTGATGGTGTGACGGTCTGACGGTCTGATGGTGTGACGGTCTGACGGTCTGATGGTGTGACGGTCTCACCCAGAGCAGCCAGCCTCTGCAGCTCGTCCTCGTTGTCGGTGCTGTGCGGACGGCCGATCTGGAGAACCTGGTTCTGACCATCGCTGCTGGACTTGCACAGCAGAGCCCGGTTGGTCCCTGGAATCCCAAAAACAAACAAAAAACACATTTGAGGATTCACAAAGCGAGAATGTGGACTCTGGTAAGATGAAGTTCATGGTGTTCCATTTCATGTTGTGTTCCTCGGCCTTCAGGTACGGAGAGTTATCTTTAACCAAAGGCATTAAAACTGACTGATCAATACCACGATCGTTAATTATTCAGCACCGGAGCTCGTTTAATACCGGGTTTCTGAACACACCTCTACCTTCAGATACGTAAAACGTGAACTCTCCCTACGTAGACGTAAATAGTTTTGGGTAATACCTTCATAAATCCCTCTAAATGTTACACACTTTTCCTTTCATTGACGCAGCGTTTTAATGACGGCTGTTAAACGCCCGCTGCCTCGACTCCTCCAGTCTCTTCCTCGCCTCCTCCGCTCGCAACGGACGGGAGAGGAGAGGAGAGGAGGCTAGGAAAGGAATCGATGACGTACACAGACTGAGGAACGAGAAGAGCTCTCATTCATCTCCGCTCTGCTGTGACTCTCTGTGGTACTTTATATGTGAAAAGCAAAGCCAACGATGCCTGTTGTACATCCAGATACCCTTGACGCGCGCACGCACGCACGCACGCACGCACGCACGCACGCACGCACGCACGC